TCATTTGGAAGTCACTAAATTTAATCTTCGTCATTGTTTTCTTCAAATCATCTTTGAACAAGCTACGCATGAGCCATAAAAGTACTTAACGTGGGTTTGTTACGGTCTCCATCTACAACATCGGCTCCTAACGTCGCATAATAGAAAAAGAAAATTCTGAAAACAGTGACTGTTCCTGAAGACTGTATTCTTTCTAACGAAAAATAATCTGATTAATTGAGTTCAAAGCAAATTATTGGAAACATTATCAAGTGCTCTGCTGAAGAGCATCTAAACAAAAATTAGATGGCCAGTTTTTGAGTGAAAGTAGACTTTCCTACTCCAGGTCTTCCATACACTAGAATTCGTCTTCGGATGGGATGATGTTCGTCACTTCCAAATACTTCACTGTAATCTTCCAGCGTTTCTTTCGTAATTCCATCAGGTTTTCTGTGGTCTTGCAAAAGTGTTAACTGTATGCAAATGTCATTAATGCGTACCGTGTTTTCTGGGTCCCATGGTGTTATTTTCACCTGACACATGGTGTTGTAACACTCTCTCAGCTGATTCTGACACCATTTCAAAAAGTCCGCCGCAAAAACTGTTGGCAAAGAAAAAAAAACTAAACAAAATAAAATGTGCCCATGTTTTTCTTCTTTCTTTGAAAACAACAACACCAAAAGCCTCTTCCAAGAACTGTGAATTCTCACTGATTAACCAATGCAAGGTAGTTTTTTTGCAAAAAGTTAATTTATTTTTTTAGCAAAATTGTGGCCATACAACAAGAAATTATCTTCAATCTTAATGCGTTTGGCCGCTGAACGTTCCTATTGAAAGGATCCTATAAAATAATTTTTTTTAACTCATTACATGTGATTGAAAGAGAGTAATAGATTGCCAGTGAGTTTGGTTGAACAATCTCTGATAGCCCATGAAGTGTGACTACCTCGTTCATGACCCAAAAAATTAAACTTAGGTCAAAATAAAACAAAGCAAAAATCAAACCAAAATTAAAGAACATAAAACAAAGCGAAAAGTAGAAAATTAATTAATATTAAGCAAACTATATTGCAACTTCATGGCAGTTGTAACTAAAAGGGAACTCTAAGCCCCTTTCAAAGATTCAAGCCATATCAATAATTGTAACCTTATCATTAACTCTAAGTAGCTTTCTCCTAAAAGTGAAAATAAAATTATATTGTAACATTGTTTGAAAGACACAGCCAAAGTTGTTACATACATAAACAAAGACAAAAACACGCACCTCCGTAGTGAGGCCAGTCTCCAAACACAAGGGAGTTACTCAACATGTTGGATACCACAGAAGCCGCCATAACACAGGCAAAAGTCTTCCATGAATTGTTTGTAGATCCACCCG